GAGGTAAAAAACCATCAAGTCTTATTTTCCCCTTGCCACCAGCAAGATGGAATGAACTACCACAGTTCCCTGAACATAACCCTGCTTCTATCTTTGCCCATTATGATCCATTCTTCTTCAGACAGCATCCAGACTTTCTTTAAACATGTAAATAATTAGATAATATCCTTCTCTTGTTTCATATTCTTCAATAGCACATCACTGCAAATAAAAGCTCTTTATCATGGCCATCAAGATTCTCCATAAGCTAGCCCCTGCCTAACTTTCTATATTTTTTCTCCCTGCATGAGTTTCCACCTTACAGATCTTCAAAGGTCTTCAAAACTCTTTCTMGACTTTCCAACCAAAATTAGCTCCTTCCCGCCTGAAGTTGTTCTCTATCAATTATTTCATTTCATTTTCTCACAGCACTTATTATTAGAAATAATCTTGTTTATACATTTATTTACCCATTTATCTGTCACTAAAAATAAGTTCCTTATGAATAAAACTATTTTGATCTTATTCACTTATATTGATGCCTAAAAAAGAGTAAGCACTCAGTAAATATTTTCTGAATCAATGGTTAAAAGAAATAGCAGCACATGTTCCACTCCAAAGACGAGATTAATGTTCCAACCTGTCAGACCCAAGTGCCTAAATTAGCAGAACTATTTTTCCGTATATCTGGTCGATCCAGAGTGTACTGAGTTTAAAACAGTAATTATCTGAGAGATACCTCCTAACATAGCATCCTGACCCTACTGCCATCACCACCATCATTCTGCATCAGAAGTAGACATTTGTTACAGACTAAGTGTTTCCTGATGCCCAGAGACAGGCAGCAGCTGTATGAATGATAAAAAGAGGTACAGAGGAAGCCACTTCCTCAGGAAGCCCTGGGGAGACCCTGGGTTCTCAAGTGCAACATCAGCCATCAAAGACTTCAAAAATGAGTGACACCACTGAACTGGCCATGCAGAGAAGGCAGTGCTTTGCCTTGGCTTGAACCTTTGGCCCTAAGAATTTCAGGAGGCATTAAAGAAAATTAATTATGAGACACTAAATACTTCTAAGTTCCTTGAATTTCATTTTGCTCTTCTGAGACTCTGAAGAAGTCTTTTTTTATGTTGGCAAGTCAAAGTAGTAGTAATTACTATACAACCATGACTATTATCTTGAGTTTTGAGATAAGAACTGGAGATAACAAAAGTGACAAACCAATAAGAAGTAATGGTCCTATTTCAAACATCTTTGTCCAAAGGATGGCATAAACTAAAATTCAAATGTGACATCATGGCATACAGCAAAGAAGCTACAAAATCCAGTATAGGCAAGTTTCAGGAATGTAAATTTAATCATGCAATTATGGAGATCCAAAATTAGAGTAAAACCAAATGGTTTAACTACATGCTGTTACATTGGAATGTTATTTCTGCTATTGTTCATCACCAGGGAACAATGGTACTCTGGGATAAGAAAACAGAAAAAAAAACAGTTAATGCTAATAAGAAAGGCATGATATCCCAGCCCTTCTTGCACTGATTTCTTCTCGTATAAATTTTCATTAATTCAATATTTAATGAAAAATTCTGTTAGGCACAAAAGAAAATAAATCCCTACAAAAACCCCTCAGAGAATTTACAATCTAGAGGATAGAAAAGGAAAATATGCAGAAGCTGTTAAAAAAAAAGGGGGAGGGGGATTCTCAATCAACTTTTAGAGATGGATAGGCAACATTTGGACAAAGATTCCAGGACTCTTTCCTGAAGACAGATTAGTGACCTTGAAGGATGAATGAAATATTGTTAGCAGACATACTGTAGACAGAACAGCCTCAGTAAAAGGGTGCAAGGAGGAAAAGGTGTGCTCGAAGAACAACAGTAGTTTAGGCTGGGGCCCAGGACATGTGGTGCAAGGGTGGGAAGGACCCAGACTGACTCAGGGACATCACTTTTATCCCCTGCTCCCCACCCACATTACCTAAGACCCTATTCTCTATACATCTGGTAGGTTCTAGGTCATACTTATTAAATACATATGAGGATAAATCCAGATATTAAAAAGTTAAATCTATTCAATTAACTTTGATGATAATGATGCTCTGGGGTATTCCTGGATTTTCCTGATTATGTGGGTTCCAGAAGAACTTTGTCCATCCTTGGTTAAGGACAGGTACTTATATTATCTCTCTAATGTATGGGAACATTTAAAGAAAGTTCACATGACCAAGAACAAGTAGATGGCAAATTTATATTTGTACATCTGCAAATTTGGAAAGTTGCTGGATCTACTACCTTGCAAATAAGAATAACAAGGAAGAGGAAGACAAGAACAATGACTGATCTATAAATCAATTCTAAGTACTATAATCTCAAAATGAAGAGCTAATACCCTCCCCCCACCACCCATGCCAGGGATTGAATCTAGAGGCACTTAACCATTGAGCCACATCGCCAGGCCTTTTTATGTTTTATTTTCAGACAGAGTCTCACTTAGTTGCTTAGGGCCTCCCTAAGTTGCTGAGGACCTCACTAAGTTGCTGAGGCTTGCTTTAAACTCATTATCCTCTGGCCTCAGCCTCCCACGTCACTGAGATTATAGAAGTGCACCACCACACCCAGCTAAAGAGCTAATATTCTTACAGAATTTCCAAAAAGCTATCAGTACCTATAAATAAACTTGTTTTATATTTCCATTTTATTTGTTTACTTATTCTCACAATACTTGGGATTGAACCCAGAGGCCCTCTACTACTGAATCTCACCATTTTTTATTTCATTTTGAAATAGGGTCTCACTTAGTTGCTAAAATTGACCTCAAACTTGTGATACTCCTGCTTCAGCCTCCTGAGTCACCAGGATTATAGGTGTGTACCACCATGTCCAACTATAATTTTATTTTTAGAAATATACTCACTACTCAGCTATTAACTTACTGTGCAACTGCAGACAATAAACTCAACCTTCCTGAGTCTCTCAACAGGGAGGAGGGTGAAGAGAAACTGACAGCCGGAGGCGAGCCAGGCCTGAGGAGATGGCCACACCCATGAACTAAGAGATGCTCTTCTGGCGTCAAATGTCCCGACCTTCTCAGAGCCTCACTATGCACCTACATCTGGTGTACAGGGATGCTGCTATACACAACTTTTCCATCCTTTGGCTGGATACTATCTAAAGCATCTGAAACTTCTAAAATGTCCTCTAGATCTATTTTATGATCTTGTTTTTAGATGTAAGCACAAAGCCTTGAAAGAAGCATCTTAAGTGAATCTAGTACTAGGCAGATTTCAAAAGCTGTTTTAAAAGCATCAGCCATTAACATAACAATTAGCAAACTTAAGAAACTAGAACATAGAAATCAAACATTTAAAGAACTCAGTGTTTGGCAAATCATAGAACATGTATGTATGTCGATGTGTGTACATACCCATCCACCCTCCCCACATACATACATACACACACACACACACATACATACAAACACACATAATTAGTCATCCTAAGTCCATTACAAATCATATATAAATATACATACACATATGTACACACACACTCATGCACAGATTCACAGAAACTAAGGATTACTATAAGGACAAAGGACACATATTATGAGATTTAATCAAAAAGCTAAAGTCCCTACTATAAATGCAGTGGATACCTAAAGCTACATGCTTCAAATTCACAAGTTAGTGTGAATTTCATCCTTATATTGTTATCAAGGACACATGTCTAATGTCATGTTAACCTTCTGAGTCCTACATATCAGTGTTTAAAGTTTCACAAAACATGGCCATATTTCTCAGAACTCTAATATTCTTTCTTGACATAAAATTCCTGGTTCTCTTATCAATTATGTGTGTATGTATATATATATACATATATGTATATATATATATATATATGTATACACACATATGTATATAATATTGATATATACACACACTCAAGCAAACCTATACATTCAAACTAATAAACATATATTCACAGAATGTAAAACCTTTGCATAGTATGGACAGAAATCAGGAGAGGTAAGTCATTTCATTTACAAACAATTATGTTTTGAGACTACTAAGGACACTTAAGTCTTACCACTACAGACAAAAAATCTGTTAAAAAAAAAAAAAGGTTTGTTTTGAGAGTTTATTACACATTTTGTTTTACTTTCTTTCTTTCTGTTCTAGTCCACCTCTGCCAACAATAGTAATTAGATGACACCTAGAATTCCTTTCGGCTCTCAAGACTTTTGATCTCCAAATTAAAGATCTATGATGATTAATACACTATCTTTTCACCATGATCTAAAAGCAATCAAATCAGTCTTAAAACAAGATGTTTTTGCACAAATAAAGCAGAAAAAAAAACCAGTTGGGGATCTTAATGCACTAAATGTGAATGATTAGCCTGCAATTTAATGCTGATGTTAATTTTTAAGAAGAAAGGTAAAAAGTAAGAAGCTTATTAGAATGTATAAGGATAAATGTCGTATGAGAAGCTAGAGGTAAATGTAAACCAGAATAGAGTTCTGTCTACCTGATGAGCCATGTGTTGATCTTGCCTTACAGCCACCAATCACAGCTTCTGTTAGCCCTGAGCATTCTTCAAGCAAACTTAATGAAACAATTGTACATGTGAGAAATGTAAGCCCAGATCTGAGTAGGTAATACTAATTTTCTGACAGTGAGGGTGTGATGTTATTCCCTACACCACCTGGATACAACACAGAAACTTATAGCAAACATTTTCCCAAAGAGTACAGTTATAACCATCCCACCAATGTGCAGATTGATAGTGTGGCTGAGTACAGCATTAGTAGAAATTTCCCAAAAAATTTTATCCCAGAGTTACTGAATATCAGAATTCCCTTAATAAAAAAGAAGAAATAAGTATCTTCAAGTCTCAATTCTTTAAAAATAAGCCATTCCACAGCTCCAAGAGTTTCGAAGTGAATACATCTCATCTGGTAGCCCCTCACCCCCAGCCTGCCAGAGTCTGCAAGTGAAACCTATGAGTCTGTCTTACCTGTAATCTGACTCTGTCCTTGTGGATTAAAAGGACTTGGTGCAGAGTTCAGGGAGGGCCGTGGGTTCTGAGGCGGGACACCTACTCTCATACTGGGATGAGGAATGCGCCCTAAATCACTGAGGCGGTCAGAGAACAAACTAGGTTTAGAGTCATCAAGCTTCTGTCTGTGCCCTGGAAACAGCAAATCATAAAATAAAAGCATATTAATTAGCTGAACAATTGACCATGCTAAATAGATATGTGAACATACATATGGGGTGGTTTAAGCCAAGGAATTATCAATATAGATATTTATAATGATGTGTCTATATAATGTCTATATAATGCCTTCCTTTTCAAATTGCTTTTTAAGTATTATCTGCTGGCAAGCATTTCTAGTTCTGTTGTATAAATGGAGAGCTGAACATTCCAGAGGGCAATTTAAGAGTTGAGAGCAAGAGGAGCTCTCTGGACACCTCCTCTGGCCTCTCAGTGAAAAGATGGAAAAAGTAGAGTTTCTCTGTTTCATGATGAAGGAAACTCATTTGAAAACTCAATAGTCTATGCATGTTAGACATGCTATCTCAAAGTTTGGGCAGAAGCAGAGGCAAACATAGTTTTCAAAGAGAAATATTCCTGAAGACCATATTGACTTTTTTTTCCTTTCTGTGTTACAACTACCCCTTGCACTGAAACCCTGTTCTGAAAAATTAAAACTCACACCTAGAGTCCCTCTAAAATAAAAAAATAAAAAGAAAGAAAAAATGTAAGCAATGAAATAAAATTATCAAGAAAAATCTAGATATTTCGTGATATGCCAAAGCCCAAAAGCATATAATAAACTCTGTTAAATCACAGAGAATTTTTTTTTTAATTTTAAATCTACTGCTGTGGTTTTATAAAAGAAGCTGAAAATACTCTTTGGCTAAACATGTGAATGTGACAATCATGTTTTTTAAATAACTTTTTCTCTTCTAGGTTATTCAAGTTTAAAACCTAAGGAAATTCTGAAAATTGAAGAAATCTGCAAATTAAAATATACTCAAGATAATAAGATTTCTTAAAAATCATCAGATAATTCTTAAAGGAGAATATCAGAGACTAGGCACAAATATAATAGAAAAGCATCAGAATCTGGGTATGACCTAGTGTAATGTACCTGCAGAGTGGTTCTGCAGTGAGTTCAGGGTTAACACACACACACACACACACACACACACACACACACACACACACTGTGAGGGTCCCCCTTCTCTACGTTCTGAACCATGAGGATCTAATATGCTGCCCCATCATTTTCCTAAAAATGTTTTGGTAACTGAAGTTGATTCAAGGAATAACTGCTGAGATGATGACTGCATTAAGAATTTGCACTTTGAAGAAAAACTAAGGAAATTAGGATTATTATCCTAAAGGAAAAGTCTTGAAGGAGTACTGTCAAAACTACTTGAAGCATGGGAGTTCTTCACAATTTCACTGCTCTGTGGAGAGTGCAAATATCTCATCTCCCACTTAACACAGGACAAGAGGAATCTATCAGGATAGGGTTAAGTTGAACATTAGAATTTCCCAACTATAAGCTGTCTTCATAAGAAAAAATCCTTATTTTATTTGCCCCAAAATGTATTTTCCTGTCTCCTTTTTCATTGCCTACCCAGCCCAAAGAAAACAGACAGGAAGCCAAGGCTCAGTAATATGAGTGTAGCTGTCTCCCCAGCCAAACATGTTTCAACTAGGCCCATTAACTGAAATGCACCCACCACCCTATTTCCTGCCAGTGCAAGTCTAGGGCATCTGCTATAACAGAGGGACTAGATCTCAAAAAAAAAAAAAAAAAAAAAAAAGACTAAGAAAAACTAGGAGGATGAACTGTTTGCTAATAGTTGTTTTCCCCCTTATTTATGGGGTTTTTTCCCTCCAGATTACAAATAGATTTTAGACCCTAAAGGACTTTTAGAGGGGATCCAAAATAATTCGTAGACCCCTGCTAGTAAGGTGTTTACAGACAAAGTGTTTACAGATGAAGTAGTCGGCAGAGGTAGGTCAACTAGCCAATGGTCTTCAACTATTGACTAGCTCAATTCCAATGCTGGAATGCTACCTTCCTGTCCCAGTTGCTATGGAAGACTAAAAATTATCTAGATCATACAGTGAGACACCTGAAACTAGGCCCAATGAGTGAGGCATTAAGGCTGGTTTTCAACATAAGCAAAGAGAGTAGCAAGGATTCAATAACAAAGTTAATAACTCATCCATTACCCTAAACATACTGTTGTAGCCTAACTCACCAAACTTCTATCAGTACATCTTGCTGGGTCTAACTATTTTCACAGTTAGTGATTTACATAGTACTCATCACAAATCCACAGAGTCTGTGTCTTACACACACACACACACACACACACACACACACACACACATTGGTGTGTACTAATTCAGCTGTAAATATTAACAATAAAAGTTGTGGGATTGTCTGTGGAAGCTATTTTTTAATAGGCCATATTTTTGGAATGGCAGATTCCCTGAAGACTAAAGGCTAGGCTACATGATCTTGCATGGTTCCTTTATACACTGAAACTTTATGTGGGGCATGGGTCATAAGAAAATTTAATAAACTTTGCCTCTGCTTTCTACATACTTTTCATTAGGTTTTCATGGAGACTACATGAGATGTGAGCTCAGTGATTGGATGTGGGAGTACATTTTTTTTCTTAGCCCAGTGCTTTAGGAAGTAATGGGAGGTTATAGGTAAGAATAAAGGACTTGGAATAGTACTAGTGTGAAAAATTAAGAGCAGAAGAAATTTTAAAATCTCTCAGTGATTTTCTTTTAGAAATTATCTTCAAAGAGAGCTACCAAGCATCTATCTGGGGAGATATATATATATGCACATACATACATACACACATATATACACACACACACATATATATAAAACATATTCAGTTTCCCCTGTAGATATTTTCCCTTCATAGCAACCACCAAAACCACAACAAAATTCTTACAATACAATGAAAAGAAAAAAGCCAAACAGGTTCTTCATCTTTCAACCATTCTACCACCAAACTACATCACAGTATACTCAAATGACAGGCTGAAAGAAGATGTACTTAAACCTTCAGCACCAAGCAAACCTTTCAGAAATTGAGAACTCAGGAGACAAAGGACACACTGACTTGGATCAAGGACAGAGTACTCTGCCATGTTGCAGGGAGGACTAAACCTCATCCAAAGGGCTGAAGAGGAGCTCTTCCAAGCAAGAGGACACTATAAAGAATAGAAGATTCTTTTGTGTTATACGTGAACTCTTTATGTAAAAGCTCAGTAGTCCTGGATTCTCTTCACTAGCTGAACTTTTTCCCTAAAACAGTGGTCCCTTCCAGCCTGTGGATAATGAAATCCCCTAAAGGGTTTTTGGAAAAAGTGGCTGTTCAGACCCCATATCAGATTAATACAGAATTTCTGGGGTGGGTCATGAGGAAAAGTTGTTTTTTAAAAGCTCACCACGTGATAAAATATATGTCCAGGGATGGGAATTACTGCCCAAGATGTAAGTTTTAGTCCCATCACAAATGCCTCTGCCCTGACTTGCAGGTTTGTGTATCCTACTGCCTATTTGACAGTTCCTCTTGAAATATCTAGAAGGTATTGTTAAATGCTTCATACTCAAAATAGAATTCTTGATTCTCTTTCCAGAAAAACCTTATTCCTTCTTAACAGTCCCCCATATCAATGAATGGCGCTAGCCACTCAGTTGCTTTAAGCCAAAAACCTAGACATTTTCCTTGATTTCTCTTTATTCCCCACTCCCCACATTCAACTCGTTACCAAGTCCTGTCTTCTTCATCTCAATACTACATCTTAAATCTATTCTATTCTCTGCTTTTCTATTGGCACAACCCCAGTCCAAATCCCTATCATTTCCCTCTGGGCATCTGACTTTGTCTCCTTTATAGTTTTCCATCCCAGGACCTTCCTACATCTCTGAAATGCTCTCCCCTTGTTACTTTGTATGACCCATTCTCATCTTTTTCATCCCTTATAGCGAGGATGAATACCACTTCAAGATACCATGTCTGGCCTAGCACAGTGAGCCGGCCTGTAATCCCAGTGGCTCAGAAGGCTAAGGTAGGAGGATCACAAGTTCAAAGCCAGCCTCAGCAATGGTAAGGTATTAAGCAACCCAGTGAAATCCTGTCTCTAATAAAATACAAAAAAGGGCTGGGACTGTGGCTCAGTGATCGAGTATCCCATGTTTGCCTACCATAACCAAAGTGGGTTCCCACCTTTTCAAGCATACCCTCTCTTTATTTCCTTCCTAGCAGTTATCATAATCTGTAATTATCTTGTGTTTTTAATTATCTCTCCTGAAAGAGAAATTTCATGGAACTGAAAGTGCCATGAGAATGAGTGTTTTGTCTTGTATACAGCTGTATTCACAAAATCGAATTCAGTGTCTGCCATACAGTAGGTTCTCAATAAATGTTTATGCAATAAATGAATGAATATTCCCCTCTTTTAGATAAATGCCTTGACTAAAAGAAAATTTTCTGGCCCAGGATATCCTATTACAATACTATCTTTCCCAAAATACTCTTCTCTTTTTGTCTGGTAATCTAATGAAGTCAGGGAGCAAAATCTTTCTTTAGAGACAAGCCCCTACTCGTGCTTCCTATGAAACTACACTGAAGGACATTCACTTAAGTAAGAGCTTGCTTGCTTCCTGAAAAACCATCTTATTTCACTATAATTCTTAAACATTGTTGAAACTAATTTAGAAACAGAAAAATGAAAAAGGAAAATGGATATAATTTAGATTCTAAATTTTAGAGCAATGTACTTCTTCTACAGAAGAGGACCTTGAGTCCTTGAGAGGGGATGTGATTTACCCAGAGTCCCATATTTAGTGGCAGGACTAGAACCCAGGTTTCCTGATTGCTGGTCCAGTGTTCTTTTTTTCATTGCCAACCAGCTTAATTTAGAACACAACAGAGCAGCAGAAGTCATTCAGGGAAAATCATGACCAATAATGAATTTAAAATGAAGAAGAAAAAGTAGTTTTCAAAAAAGATTTCTTTCAAAAAATTGAGTGTGTTTGGCTGAATATGACCTTTGTTGCAATAAATTCAGGGACACAAGAAGAATGCATGACCAAAAGGTCACAGCATTCACACATCCTTAAAGCTAACACA